ACATAATATACATGAATAATTTCTAAATATAATTTTTATTTTTTTTATTTGATTAAATAGTTCAACTTAAATAGTATATAGAAGAGTTAAATAACTTCTTTTATCTCTAAAAAATCCAATTTTTTTTTTTACTTTTTAATTTTTTAAATTGAAACATCAATTGTTTATGTTCATAAAACAAAATTGATAAACACATATCCAAAAGCTACACTTTTTTTTTCTTTTTTCTTTTTTTAATATGTAGGATATTTACAAATGAAAAATGTTTGACACCTCAAAATTTTTTCCATAATCTGAATTATAATTATGTAGTCATAACTGTCAATTTTTGTACAAATATGAAAAGAGAATTAATCAAATTATACATTTCAACCAACCATTTACTCAAACTTTGACTATTTTAAGATGTTATTTCACTATAATTCTAATTAACAGAATCTTCAACCATTAATATTTTTTTTAATCAAATTATATTTTGATAAAAATTTAAAAAGATGAAACGTTGAAAATGATTGTTTTTTCTTTCAAAATTGGTGAAAAAGAAAAATATTGGGATAAGAATAAAGTTCTTTTAAAAAAAGATAAAAATTTAATGAAAAAAGTTAAACTAATTCATATCAAATCAAAATTTTTATTCAAATTTAAAATCAAATTAGATTAAAAAAAATTAAATGAAAATAATGAAAGTTTGAAAATATTTTGAAGCCTTCATATTCTTAAAGACTAGAAATCTGTATGTGTATTATATTCATATTGTATTTTTAGCTATAAAATTGAAATCAAAATAAATGTAATTTAAATTATTAGATTAATAATAGAAACATCATATTAATTATTGTTAAATATCACTTATTTCACATTTAATAATAAAATTGTATGTTTGTCTTAATTATAACTTTTAAATTTGTATATTTTCATAACAAGAAAATGTATGTCATAACTTATTTAATCTCATTTAATCAGGTTTAATTTTTTTTAGTACAAATTATCAAAATTGCACTATATATATTTTAAATTTTTTTAAACTAATAATTTAAAAAGTTATAAACATAAAAGTTAACTTATAAATTTCATGTATACCACAAGATAAAATATTAAATTACTTCAAGCTAATTATAATAATTTTTTATTTTTTATTTTTAAATTTATAAAGTCTTGTGCATACTATGGGTTATCACTAGTTTGAATTTATTCTAAATAAGGTAGAATTAGAAAGAAAAAAAAAAGAATTTGATCCTTATAACAAAATAAATATTAATTATTTAATTTTGTTAAATTTAAATTTAATTTTTTTGATTTGTTTTGATGTAAATTATTTGTCTATTTTCGTTAAGTGAATTGACATAAAAAATAATATTTTAGTCATTAAATTTAATAAAAGATAATATTTTAGACATTTTATGTATAAAAAAAAATCTAATATTGTTTGATCGATATTTTAGCAGGATTCATATTTTATTAGACATCACATAAATTTATGAAAAATAAATAAATAATTGTTTGTATTTATTGCATCCTTAGAGCATCTCCAATGTTTTTTTTCTCATTAAATTTGAATAAAAATTTAATCTGATATCAAGCGTTCTAATAGAAAATTTTCATTTCTCATCAACCTACCGGTCGGCCAAGAGAATGTCCGGTCGGTCGATCGGTTAGTGTGAATTTACTGAAAGTCTAAAGCAAACAAAAGGTTGTCCGGTATATGATTTTAACGGCTATTTACAGTAATTTAATGAAAAGGCTCTAGACATCCTCGAAAAATTTAATTAATTCTTTATTAAATATGGATTTAATGTTAACATTGAAATACTAAAACTAAATTTCTTTTATTAAATTTAAATTTAATAATAAAAAAAAGGTGTAAACGTTTGTAGACGGATTAGTAGTACTAAAAAGAGAGGTGACATAGCTTTCGTTTGCCATAAATTAAAGGGAGTTTTTTTGATAAGTTCATTTTCTAAGAGTTTTATTCCATTCAATCCATATTCTTTTTGACTATTCCATTAGGTCCAATTTGAGATAAGAAGACCAAAATACCCTTTTCATCTACTTATGTTCCATTTAGTTCACATTATTTTCTTATGTTTCAATAAGTCCTATGGGTGACATAATTACCAAAATACCCTTAATGTGAATGTTCACACCGTCAATATAAATGTTTATATCGTCAATGTGTAGGGGCCCGGCTCATGTCGATCCTCGTGGGTGCCACAAGAAAATGTATGTCATAACTTATTTAATCTCATTTAATCAGGTTTAATTTTTTTTAGTACAAATTATCAAAATTGCACTATATATATTTTAAATTTTTTTAAACTAATAATTTAAAAAGTTATAAACATAAAAGTTAACTTATAAATTTCATGTATACCACAAGATAAAATATTAAATTACTTCAAGCTAATTATAATAATTTTTTATTTTTTATTTTTAAATTTATAAAGTCTTGTGCATACTATGGGTTATCACTAGTTTGAATTTATTCTAAATAAGGTAGAATTAGAAAGAAAAAAAAAAGAATTTGATCCTTATAACAAAATAAATATTAATTATTTAATTTTGTTAAATTTAAATTTAATTTTTTTGATTTGTTTTGATGTAAATTATTTGTCTATTTTCGTTAAGTGAATTGACATAAAAAATAATATTTTAGTCATTAAATTTAATAAAAGATAATATTTTAGACATTTTATGTATAAAAAAAAAATCTAATATTGTTTGATCGATATTTTAGCAGGATTCATATTTTATTAGACATCACATAAATTTATAAAAAATAAATAAATAATTGTTTGTATTTATTGCATCCTTAGAGCATCTCCAATGTTTTTTTTCTCATTAAATTTAAATAAAAATTTAATCTGATATCAAGCGTTCTAATAGAAAATTTTCATTTCTCATCAACCTACCGGTCGACCAAGAGAATGTCCGGCCGGTCAATCGGTTAGTGTGAGTTTACTGAAAGTCTAAAGCAAACAAGAGGTTGTCCGGTATATGATTTTAACGGCTATGCACAGTAATTTAATGAAAAGGCTCTAGACATCCTCGAAAAATTTAATAAATTCTTTATTAAATATGGATTTAATGTTAACATTGAAATACTAAAACTAAATTTCTTATAAGGGTATCAAAATTAAATATAAGGGCATAAGTGTCCAAGAAAATAGTGTAAATCAAGAAAATGGATTTTATGGAATAAAACTATACATACATGGGACTAAATGGGTTAAAAAATTCCTTGGACTTCTTGGATTAAAACATTTCTAAATTAGACTTATTAATAAAAATCCCTAAATTAAAATGAGATTTTTTAGTTAAAATAGTTACAAAAGATAAAATAATTTTTTTAATCTAATAAAACAAAATGTCACATCTGATCATAATTATTTTATTTTTTACTCTTATAAAAATTAAAAAACTTATCCCAAACAAAACTTTTTAACCTTAAACTAAAATAATCAAAAAATTAAAAAAAACTAAAAAATCAACCCTCTTTTCAAACAAACCTATGATTAGAAGAAGCCAAAAACAGCAACAAAGACTAACCGTAAGCCTCATTAGTGAATCATCATCAAAAGCTTCTTCGTCGGTGTTTAAAGAGTACACGTGTCAGTCAGCTAGAGTAAGCGTTACACTAATTAACATCAGTACCATTACCATGTATAAAAAACCAAAAAAATTCATTGATTCTAAGACCAATTTACCCTTCCCAGACTAACGTAAAGTTGCTACGTGGCCTTCTCTTATTGGCCAGTCAAACCGGGCCTTTAATGCGTTACTTGCTTTTGTATTCTACTAGTAAAAGCCCAACCCAAAAAACCTCGTTTGATTAGGAGTTATATTATTATTTAATCAAAATCAATAAATGTGTTAACTTTCCTTTCTCTCATTCTTTTCTTTTCTTTTCTTTTGTTTTTTATTTTAAAGAAACTTTAACTGCAATATTACAGTAATCATATTTTTGTAATATTACCATAATCATATTTTTCTTTCATAATGGATTTCAACTACTCACATTTATTATTAATACAATTTTCTATATAAAATAAAAAATATAACTATCATAATATTATTGAAAAAAAAATATTCGCTCTCATATCTCAAAAATTATTCACAATAATAATATAAATATATTGTCAAAATAAATCTAAATCACGTTATGGGTGTTTGGAAAGTTGCTATTTTAGTTTTTGACTATTTTAGTAGGTTAAGATTTTTATGTTTAGGAAGATAGTTAGATTTTTTTATAGTTAGATGTGATGTTTGTGAGAGAAAAAATAAAATGATTATAGATTTGATGTGACATTTTGTCTTATTGACTATTTTAGCATATTTTGTCATTTTGTGAATATTAACCTAAAAAGTTAAAAAAAGCCTTTGCCAAACACTCCAATTATTTTTCAAAATTATTTTCAATGATATTATTGAAAAAAAAATATTATCATATATTTTATAGTATACAATGTATTAATAAGAAATATAAATGGTGAGGTTGATTTAATCAATATAACATTGGAACGTTGGTTGACTTTTTTAATTTTTTGATTTTTTAATTATTTTAATTTGGGGTTAAAAAATCTCGTTTGAAATGGACTTTTAGATTTTTTTTACTTTTATGAGAGAAAAAATATAATAATTATGTGTTGCATGTGATGTTTTATCTTATTGAACTAAAAAATTTATTTTGTTTTTTTTGGATTTAAATAACTAAAAAAACTCCAAACTTTTTCTTCCCAAACAAGCCCATAATGCTCATATTTGAGATTTTACTTTATGTGAGAGAATAGAATTGCGTGATCACATTATGTGCATTTAAAATTTTTCTTAACAAATTATGATAAAAAAAATATGATGATTTTAATAATAAAAAAAAAAAAGGGAAAAACTTTCCTCCATGCCTTCAAAGATTCCATGCAATTCAGGTCCACCGTAACACAAAAACGAACCCCACATTTTCTCCTTTTCATTATTATATTTATTTGTAATTTTCCCATCATCAATCAAATTTGTTCCTAGCCATTTTAAAGAGAGAAAGAGAGAAAAGAGGAGAGAGATATTGACAGGAGGAAGGTGGGATGGTTTCTCATTTTCCTTTGAAGAAAGACTCATCACAGAGAGGGGAAGAAGAAGAAGAAACCCATTAAACCATAATTTTTTTATCAGAGGGGAAAGTCATCATCTCTGCTTTGACTGTGTCCCCCTCTTTTATATGTTGTTGTCAGGTACTTACCTAACAATAATCTTTCTCATCATTTTTTTAATCATTGAGAGTCTCTTGTTGTATTGGTTTTTCTTTCTCTTCCATTTTACTCTTTTCATTTACATCCCTTAATTTGGGAATTTTCTTTTCTGGGCATCTTTAGCTTATCTTATCCCAATTTTAGGTATTTATCTTTCAAAAAGAAATTTCCTTTTTTCTTTTTATGGTTTTGATTTTAATTTTACATCATGGATCCTCAAATTTCCTTATATATTAGATCATGATGGGCTCTAGGATTATAGGTTTGTTTGCCTAAAAAGTGTTCGACAAAAAGACACTGTTGGTTTATCTTATTTGATTGGTTGTTACTCTCGATCTTTTTCAAATTTCAGATTTTGCTTATTCTTTTTCAGTTAATTTGTGGATTTTGCGAAGAGGGTTGTGATTAAATCAGTCTGGAAATGATTGTGGGATTAATTAGATGATGTTCTTTCTGGGATTGTCCTGAATTGTTGATGTCTCATGAATCTATGGCCTCTTAAATGATTTGTTGATCTTCTTTGATTTTTTTTAATAAATTATTGTACTCTTATTATTGTTGTTGCTCCTCGAAACTCAGCGATATGATCGATCACAAATTTGATGAGTTGATTGAGGAAAGATCCTTGTTTGTTGAGGGAGGAAGACATTGATAAATAAGTTTTCTTTTGAGAGATTTCATCTATGCGTTTATCATATAACTTCCCTTGTATTAATTTTTACGCCATTGCATTTGAGGCCTTAGTTTTGTTTGTTTCAATGGAAAACAATCTTTGATGTTGGAAGTATTCGATCCTATAGCTAAATCACAAATTTGATGAGTTGATTGAGGAAAGATCCTTGTTTGTTGAGGGAGGAAGACATTGATAAATGAGTTTTCTTTTGAGAGATTTCATCTATGCGTTTATCATATAACTTCCCTTGTATTAATTTTTACGCCATTGCATTTGAGGCCTTAAAGTTTTGTTTGTTTCAATGGAAAACAATCTTTGATGTTGGAAGTATTCGATCCTATAGCTAAAATTCTTTTGTTGTCAAAGGTGTTTTTTTTGTTTTTTTTTCAAAAAATAAAATAGAAATGTACATCACTCAAAATGGAGTTTTGCAAAATTTCTTCAAATCGATCTTATAATGACACGTTGTAGGCCTAGCTGTCTCTCATTGCTTTTTCGCTCTTCTTTATTTTTTATTTATACGCTATTCTTGAGACATTGGACTCAAACTTGAGTAATCATCTTTTGCATATTGTGTAAATCAGGAATTCTTCTGTTGCGAGTTTGAGCTGATTACGACATACGAGGCTTAGAATTATCATGGGTGGGTTTGATGACCATGTTGCTATTATGGGAGATTGGGTGCCTCCTAGTCCGAGCCCAAGAGGTTTTTTCTCTTCCGTATTGGGTGATGAAATCAGCTCAAGGTCAATTTCTGAAAACCCTTTTGAAAATAAAAATGGGGTGCTCTTTCCGGGGCCTGAAGAGCGAATTATGTCAGGAAGAAGTGATGAAAAGGACGGTGCACAAGATTGTGTAGCCGATGATCAATTGACTAAATCAAATTCATTTTCCGAGCAGAAAATGAACTCTCGTGGAGGAGGCCTTTTGGAAAGGATGGCGGCTAGAGCTGGGTTTAATGCTCCAAGGTTGAATACAGAAAGCATCAGACCTGCTGACCTTTCACTAAACCCAGATGTTCGGTCTCCTTACCTGACAATCCCACCTGGTCTTAGCCCGACATCCCTGTTAGAATCTCCGGTTTTCCTCTCAAATTCACTGGTAAGCCAAAGTTTGAATAGAATCTGGTTTTACTTGTTTTGAAATACTCTTATTTGCTTTTGAGGGCAAATATGAACCTTTGCCTTGATGAGATCACATAGTCTTGGTTCATGTCTGTATCTTGTTTACAGCCTATAAAAAGTGTGTGGGGCAGCTGCTTAATAGGTTGATCTTACCAAAGATGAAACCGTGCTATTATGGGTATTCCATATGCTGATAAAGGAGCTAAAAAAGGGCTAAGAAACAAGGAGTTCATTTTTTATGCCCAGGTGGAGTGGAAAATACGATAGTGGGAATGAAAACTGATCTCTTATTGGTATTTATTCTTAGAAATTTTTAAGCCATATAGTTAGGCGTAAAATGGGATCACTCGCCACCTCTAGGCTTTTTTGTGCTTCAAATAAATCAGTACAATAAATCAAGAGATGAAATGTAAATCTTAGAGACGTTCAGCCTGACTGCTATGCAATAAGTTATGAGAAGTTCTCATCCATCTTATTTTTGCATCTAATAATGTTGGCTAATGTGGTGCTCTCCTAATTATACAATTACATGTAATTTTTGCATCGAATAGTGTTGGCTAATGTGATCCTCTTCTATAATTATACATTTAATCTCCTAACTTATGGTTCCTTGAATGTCTCGCTAATGTTTTTGCTCGACCTTAGGTGAAGTTAGCATCAGCTTAAATGGCCCATCTTTACTCAGCATCTTATTTCCCTTACCTTTTTAATTGTAGGCTCAGCCGTCTCCAACAACAGGAAAGTTTGCATTTCCTCCGAGTGGGAATGGCAGAAACTCCACCCTGGCTACGGAGGCCACCGATAAAAGTAGAGACAATTTCTTTGAAGACATCAATACCTCATCCTTTGCCTTTAAACCTGTTGCAGAATCGAGTCCCTCTCTTTTTCTTGGCACTACAAGCCAAGTAATTCTGCTCTCTCTCTGTGTCACACACACAACACCACATTATCCACACACGCACACAACATTAGTCATTGTTGTGAAATTTGTCAGAAAAATCAGTTGAGTGGTATACGATGTAAAAGAATAGAAGTTTTGTCCATTTTCTGTTCTTTTAAATATTATTTACGTTTATGCATGCAGATGGCTTCAACTTTTCCTCAGACAAACTTTCCTGGCATTGAGGTTTCTGTTCAGCCAAAAAACTCTCTTCAGTCTCGATATGTTGAGCCTGCAAAACTGCAGTCTCAAAATGGAACCACACTGAATCGTCAAGACTCTTATAGAACGTGCAGTGAAAAGGAAGCAGCAGTTGGTGGTGCCAGTGCGGAAAATTCACCACCATTTGATGAGCTGCAAGATGAGGAAGCACATCAAAGAGGTGGCGGAGATACTGTGGTTGGTGGTGCCCCATCTGAGGATGGGTATAATTGGCGAAAATATGGACAAAAACAAGTAAAAGGGAGCGAGTATCCGCGAAGTTATTATAAATGCACACATCCCAATTGTCCAGTCAAGAAGAAGGTGGAACGATCTCACGAGGGCCACATTACTGAAATCATATACAAGGGGGCCCACAGTCACCCCAAACCGCCACTCAATCGCAGATCAACCATTGGATCGTCAAATCTGCTAACGGATATGCAACTTGACATTGGTGATCAGACCGGGGCACAGATTGGTGCAGATGGTGAACCGGTATGGTCAACCGTGCAAAAGGGAGTTCCCGACTGGAGGCATGACAATCTCGAGGTGACATCATCAGCATCTGTGGGTGCTGAGTACTGCAATGCACCGAACTCTATGCAGGGTCAGAATTGCACGCATGTTGAAACGGGTGATGCAGTGGATGTCTCTTCTACTTTTTCTAATGAGGAAGATGAAGATGACCGAGGGACACATGGCAGCATATCATTAGGTTGTGATGGAGAAGGAGATGAATCTGAGTCAAAGAGAAGGTTATTATTTATTTTTGTCATACGCTTGAATGATTTTCATGATGTTATGTTGGATAATCAGCAGAATATTTGCCAATATTGTTTACTATTACAGGAAAATTGAAGCGTATGCAACAGAAATGAGTGGGGCCACTAGAGCTATCAGGGAGCCTAGAGTTGTGGTCCAAACAACCAGTGAGGTGGATATCCTTGATGATGGGTATCGTTGGCGCAAGTATGGGCAGAAAGTTGTGAAAGGAAATCCAAATCCAAGGTCATCTTAATCTTCATCTTCATTGTTGTTTCCTTGTTTGTGTTTGAACAATTCACAATTTGATTCATATGATTCGATATGAGTTTTAATTAAAACGATTCGATTCATTTTGTTGAATCTTAAATTGAGTGAATCGTACGATTCAATTGCAATTCACCACGATTCATTTCTGTTTGCATAATGCATGAAACGGCATTGTTTTCATAAAAATTAAATAACAATAATTAAAAAAAGGTAAATTGAGAGTTAAATAAAATGACATGATTTACAATTTGATTCACAATTTGACAACAATTTGTTGCATTGCTGAAGAAACTGGAAACGACTTGTTACTGTTTTGATGCAGGAGTTACTATAAGTGCACGAGTGCTGGCTGCACAGTAAGGAAGCATGTGGAGAGGGCGTCGCATGACCTCAAGTCAGTGATCACTACCTACGAGGGGAAGCACAACCATGACGTCCCTGCTGCTCGGAACAGCAGTCACGCCAACTCTGGCACCACTAACAATGGACCTAACCAAACTGCTGGAACTTCAGCTTCTGCTTCTGTTGCATCGCATCTTCACAGGCCCGAGCCATCTCAGGTTCACAACAGCATGGCTAGATATGATAGGCCTCCTTCAATGAGCTCATTTGGGCTACCTGGAAGGCAACAACTGGGACCGCCCCACGGGTTCACTTTTGGAATGAACCAACCGGGACTTGCTAATTTGGCAATGGCTGGGTTGGGGTCAAACCAGGGTAAGTTGCCCGGTATGCCAGTTCATCAGTATTTTGGACAGCAACGGCCGTTGAGTGAAATGGGTTTCATGTTGCCAAAAGGAGAACCGAAGATGGAGCCTCTGTCGGAACCTCCCTTGAACCTTTCGAATGGGGCTTCAGTTTATCATCAAATTATGAATAGGTTGCCTCTTGGACCACATATGTAAATTTTCTCTTCTTTTTTTGTTTTGTTTTTTGTTTTTTTTGTTTTTCCCTTAAAGAAAAGAAAAAAGTAGAAAGATACAACTTTTCTATATTTGAAAATGGGTATTTCAGTGCTCTGAATTTTGGTCTTGATTATTATTATTATTATTATTTTTGCAAATGGCCTTTTTTAGATTTTCATTTTATAACATGGTCCATCTTTTATGCTAAAATTCTGTGTGTGTGTGTGTGTGTGTGTGTGTGTGTGTGTGTTTTGTGGAGTTCAAGTTGATTGATCGAAACAGAGACATCCGTCTCCGAGAATTTATTGGGCAAAAATGGATAAAATTATTCATACTATAAATCATACCATGAAAATAATTTTCTAAAGAACTTTTAAGGAAATAAATGAAAAATGATTAAAAGAGAAAAAGATCAGCTCGTGTTTTCAAATTATAAGTTTCAATACTCTCACTGCCGCTTCACGATTGGATAGCACGTTCAAAATATAATTTCGCGATATAATTCAAACTGCAGTTTGAAAATTCGTTTGGCAGCTTGTGCTTCAGTTCTCCACTTTCAACGTTTCTGTCTACTTCCTCTTTTGATCTAAAAAACTTTCATGTCCATCTTCATCGTCTCTGAAAATTTCACGTAAATCTCATCTTTCTTTCTCTGTATCAAAAATTAGTACTGAAGATTCGTCACAGGTAGGCTTCACAGAGAAGTCGGACTCATTTTATAAATAATGAATCCTCTGAACCCGCTCCCTACTCGTATCATCTTCCAGAAATCGGCTGACTTACAATTTGTACGTTGTGGAAGATTCCTTCTACAGGCAACCAAACAAAGACGAGTGCAAGATGAAATAACTCACAAATTTTATTTACATATTTTGTTATAGGTCAATGATTTGAAAAATTCATACGTAATTTTATTCAATTTTTTTTTCCAGGTCAATTTTATCAAATCTATTGTCGAATCAGACGAGCAAAGAGTGGCACATTCAGTCAGTATACATATTCCATCACCGGTGATAACTATTCAACTCCCACTAATCTGGTAAATAAATCATTCATATGTTATGTGTAAGTGGTTTCAAAGAAGTCAAAATCAGTTCTTAAATGATTTCTGAGAAATGTAGACGAGTATTTTTTAGTTTCAGATCTTTTGTGATTTGTTTGAACTGTTTGAACCTTTTGCCAAGAAGGATAGCCACTAATCTGGTAAATAAATCCTTCATTTGTTATGTGCAAATGATTTCAAAGAAGTGGAAATCAGTTCTCAAATGATTTTTGAGAAGTGCAGACGAGTATTTTTTAGTTTCAGATCTTTTGTGATTTGTTTGAACTGTTTAAACCCTTTGCCAAGAAGAATAGTTGAGTCGGGAGTACTTGGGATATCCGGCCGGTCGTCCCCCGGGTCATCCGGCCGATCGATCTATCTGTTCTCCTCCTCTTCGTCTGCTGCTTCTTCTGCTTATTTCTTCCTTTATTTCTTCCTTCTGTTTTCGTGGGCTTCTTCTTTTACTGGTTTTTTTTTTTACTATTTAAAGACAATGTTACTTGATTTTTTTCATTATTTGTGGTTTTATTTCTACTATTTAAATTCAAGTAATTTGTAACGTATTTTTTTTCTTGAAATAAAATCATTTGCTTTTTATTTTTTATCTGTGTTCTCCTTCAAACCATTTTGCTCTATTATTCTTGTATATCAACCCCGGACTAGTTTAAATATAATTTGTATCTTTATAGATGGATGGAAATAATTCCGATGACAATCAAGATACAAAAATGTGGACGTCCAGAATTGAAACGAAATTAATAAATATGTTGAGAGATGAGGTTAGAAAAAATCAAACAACGGGCCGTACTACTTCATGGACAATTAGGCATTGGAATCATTATGCAAATCAGTTGCACAACATGTATGGATTTCGGTATACAGCAAAGCAGGTGCGACAAAAATATCAGCAATTGAAAGCAAATTACCAGACATTTAAGCAACTCCAGGCACAGACTGGTCTGGGATGGAATCCCATTGTAGGCATTGTTGTTGCACCTGATGAATTTTGGGATAAAATTTTTCATTAATCTGTACTATTTTCAAATTTTATTTTAAACATTTCATGATACATACAATGTTTAATTCTATATTTTTAATTGTTGTAGGCTAGCAGAAATGTGAAGAAGTTTAGGACACAAGGATTTGAATATTTCCAAGAAATGGCAGAAATTGTTGAAAATTGTTGTGCCACAGGGGCCTTGTCTCGTGCATCCACACAAGGAGTCCTTGACTCAGATGAAGAAGATGAAATGCTAAATAAATTTTGGAACCCTGATGTTGGTGGGAGTAATGCTGTTGAGGCCATTCCTGTTGACTTATTCGGCGATGAGTACATGGATCCAGCAGAAGGCAAAAGTCACAAGAGCAGCCCTACAACTAGCCAGACTGACAGTGGTCGTTCTAAAAAGTCACGACCAAGTGGGTTCGATGATGTGTGCACAGCTTTCACATCCTACATACAGGCAAAAACAGGACATTTACGTGCACGAGAAAATGAGACAGAGGCTGTAAGTGCAGGTGGTGATGAATATTCCCTTGATGCATGTCAAGATGCATTGCTAGAGCTTGGGGACATACCACCGGTGCAATACGTTAGGGCATTGACACTGTTCAAGGATAAGGAATGGCGAAGGTTTTTTATGCGCACTCCTACCCATATGTGCCGAGCCATGATCCTCGCTTTGTAGTGAAGTGAGAAGTTCTGTTTTGATTGTGTTAGCGAATCTCCTTGTCGGTCTGCAAAATGATTTCATGATTCCTGATTTGTTTTTTATTCTTTTTTTTCATTCCATGATATGCTCTTTCCTTTTCTATCTCCGTATGTTTTTTTTTTTGTTGAACTTTTAAGTAGTTTTTGTTTTATTGAAAATATGTTGTTATTACAATATAACGTATTAAACAAATTTTGTTCTCGTATGAATTTTACTGTACGCTGGTAATTGACTACGGCCGACTATTCATGTACTCACTTTTTAATTCTGTTTCACCAATAATGGTAAGTGTTACAATTTGTCAAACATTATTTTATAATTATGCTTTTACTGTGATGTAGACAAAACCATATGTCATCCGACACAGAAAACAATATAATGGAGATCTAATCAGAGGAGGATGAGGCTATTGAAGATTTTATGGATTTTTTTATGATTGCTTTCATGCATGACCATATCAACGCGTCAAGTAGTCGCCAACCGCAGCGAACGTGTCCATTCAAAGGTAATGATTACATCTTCAACCTATTAAATGGCCATCCAGAAACAATGATGGACATTATGCGAATGGATGCACAAACATTCATTTTGTTGAAAGACACTTTACTCCAAAATGGCTTTATCGATACTGAACATATCATATCAGTGTGGAGGAATCGCTTGGAATTTTTTTATACACTTTTGCACAAAATGATCGCCATCGACTACTGGCAGATAGATTTCAACACTCCACGGAAACAATTTGTCGGCACATAAAAATTGCTATGCGGGCATTGTGCAAGCTTGCATCAACGGTTATTAAACCACGTAACCAAGACGAGATACCGGCAAAAATTTTAAATGACAGGAGGTTTTTTCCCTGGTTCAATGTACGAATTTAATGACTGTCATGTAAGTTGTATATATCAATAAGGGACGATATATTATTATTTTTTAATTATAAAAGTAATATCCAAGTTTGTTTCGCTTTTAATGTCAAACAAATATTTGTCAATTAGGATTGTGTCGGTGCTATCGATGGCACATTGGTGGATGCATGGGTCCCTGCTTCAAGACAAAATGCATTCTGCGGTTGGAAATCAACAGTATCGCAAAACGTACTCGTAGCTTGCGACTTCAATATGTTGTTCACATTTATTAATTTTGGATGAGAAAGTAGCGCTCACGACAATGCTATTTTGGTTGACTCTATTACACGAGCTGATCTACAGTTCCCACACCCACCCAATGGTGACTGTCCCCAAATAACATACGGTACACTTTTCGGATTGCTTTTTTTGTACATATCAATTGACAGAATAATGTATTCATTATTTACATATAGGTAAGTATTATTTAGTTGATGCTGGTTTCACGAACATGCCTAGATTCATTGCCCCATTTCGGTCTCAACGGTATCACTTGCAAGAGTTTCATGGCCATCATTATTCAGGACCTAAGAAATTGTTTAACCATTGACATTCGTCGTTACGCAATGTCATAGAAAGAACATTTGGTGTTCTGAAGAAGCGCTTCCCAATATTGCGGTCCATGCCAAATTACAAGTCTACAAGACAAGGGTCTCTCGTGATTGCATGTTGTGTAGTGCACAATTGAATCCGTTTGCATGCAGATATGGACCCATTCTTTATGGAAGCTAATAATGAAATGGCCACAGAAGCAGAAGCAGACAGGCTTGTTGGAGACCAAGCTGACTATGTTGACATGTCACAATATGGGTTAACATACCAATCGAACGTTGGGGATGCAATTACTACTGCTATGTGGCAAAATCATGTTGGCCATGTGTTGAACCATTTTAATATCTTATATTTATTTATTGATTTAACTTTTTCATAAATGAGATTTCATTACTTTGGTAACCTCTTGGTCATAAATGGAGGTTAAATAGAATTCATGAACTTGGTTTATGGTCATTATTTTGGTGTAACAATTTTCTCTTATTTAATGGTCATTATTTTTTTGGTGTAAGTTGTAAGGTCCTAGTGGCCTATAAATAGTCCCTTTCATATACTCTTTTCTACACTACTAACACATTAACTATTTTCTATACAAGAGAGATTACTAGCAAAGAAGGGTGTTTTATTGGTGGAGCTTTGGGTTCACCATCTTATGCAGAGTTGGCCTGAACCATACGACAAGTAGTCGGGCTGTTGTATCCTGGAGGGGACAAGTCATAGTTTTGTGACTGTTGTATCAGTATTGGGGTTCTTCCTACCGCAGTGGGCTTGATCTCCTTAAAGAAAATGAGATATCCGTGCCTCAGCTTGATCTATTTGTATCTCATTTTCTTTGCATCATTTATCAATAAAATATAATTTTTCTGGTATATTCACCAACAATTTTAAGGAGATCAAACATGGAACAAGTGCCAGAAAAAATCAATAATGGAATTGGAGATTTC